AAAAAATGAATGTCAATGTAATAACAAGAAACGCTAACTTGCCAGAATATATTAAGCAAATTAACGAAAGTGCTTCTATAAGAAATCATGAAAAACACACCATTTTTTTTTGGTCCAACGTAACCTTAGAGGTGTTAATGCTGATACGGGCACTTAAATTTAAGTTTATAAACTTAAATATAATTATTAACTAGGCTTATTAACTTTTTAACTTTATTTTTCAACTTTTCAATTGGCTTTCTACCTGTTTTTTTCTTGACTTCTTAGCTTATTTTTTCAACTTAATTAACAGTAGGTAATATATCATTCAAGATATCATCTAATTGGTCTGGTGGTGGTGGTTAGGGCATAGTCCCCAAAATGGCAGCCCACTGCCCAAGGAGACGGGTTAAATGCAGAGGTAAATTTCTCCAATGTGAGGTCAATAAAAAGTTAAATTATTACTATTATTTTAGGTATTGATCACATATTTTATTTCTAAACATGGACTTCTCACTCAGTCCACAGTGAAGGAATACTAGAAAGTACTAGACCTAGACCTCATACTAGAAAGTAACTTTCTTGTTTAAGTATTTTTTTATGTAATAAATCCTGTTTAGAATAGTTGTATATATCTAGGTTTTAAACCATAATGAATACAACAATTTTGACTTCTATGCAATATGTGCAAAATTCAGAATAGCTTTTCCAAACAACTCCATTTTTATATCAATTAAAGTCTTTTACTGTGTTATAAAAAAAACAAAGAGTTAGTTCATATGAATCATTTGGCATCACATCAATGTGACATTCGCACCCTAGATGAGTGGATGTGGGCTTCTTTGGAGCAACCGTGTTTGGCTCACTTTTATTCAATCGCTCTGCTGGTGAATAATTTACTGAACGGTTTACGTAACTCCCCTGAAGTTCTGCTTGTCTTCAACTTTTAGGACAGTGATGTAATTGAGCACTTTAAAGCCAGACCATTTAGTTACACTATTATGTAGGGCTGCTGATGTTACTGGCTCACGTTTCACATCCAAATCATTTGATTCCTGCTGCTCCCCGCTCATTTAATGCCCACCAAGTTAATTTGTCTCCGTTTGTCTCACTGGTACCGTTAGGCTGGTATCTGCGATGAGCTGTTGTTGACCGTAATGCTTTTAAGCCAATAAAGTTGCATGAATATTTAACCACAGCGCTCTTGTTTGATTGCCTGCTGTCCAGACTCTAGTAACGTACCAGCATGTCCGTCACTGGGCTTAACTTCCCTCCAGGTTTATAGAAGAAAAATATTGGCACTTAGATTACTTCAATTATTTACTGTTGAGCCATTAGTGCATGCATTTGTGTGTGTGTGTTTTTTAAATTATTTTTCCTTTGGGGTTTGTGCTTTTATGGTGTTCCCCAACATGGTTTGTATTTTCTTATACTCAGATAAGTTCAAGTTCATCATTAAATATAGAGCAAAACATTTAACTTTGATCCACTTAAAGCCTCTAAATGGCTAAATACATTAATGTTTTTTTTACTAGTTAAAAAATGTTTACTTGCTCCAATGAAACCGTTTTGTTTTTTTAACGGGTTTAATATAATTCATAGTAGACATGTTGAGCATGTGATATTTTTAAAGCAACATGGGTGCATCTAAAAAAAAAACAATCCAAAACAAGCTATTTCTATGTTTATTTTTTGCTTATTTTGATTTTTTTTTATAGCTTGCTGCAACTCAAAACCCCAAAACATGTTTCTCTAAGACAGTAAGGATTTTATATGTAAGAGATTTTTAGTACATTCATTTTTTACGGTTAATCTAGTTATGTTGGACAAATGGTACAACAATTGTTAGATGAAAAGGTTATTGCTAAACAAGTTAGTTGTTTACCTTGCTTTAACAAATTATATGCATGGAAAGTAACATGAAAGGAAAAAATGTATAAAAAAGGCACAAGCAGCTGGGGTTACTGCAGCTTTAAGAGGATTTTTTAAAGCTTGTTGGTAGAGAGAAGCACAGAGTACTGCACTCACTTTATACTTGGAAGCTTGACTGTCCGAATAATCAGACTGATTGAAAAACTTCACACTGGACCTCACACCTCATATGTTCTGCACCTCTTCACTCTTTCTCTAGTGTCTTTGATCTTGAGTTTTCAAATAAAAGTTTTTAGGATAATTATGATTGAGCCTTTCCTTTAGTTGCAAAATTGAAATGAAAAGCTGCCTTTTTCATCTTTTTCTTTCACTTTACGTTAAAAAGTAGGGATAGATTTTGTGAAGAGGAATTCTCTTCTACTATTAAATCATCCATCATCCCCATGGTTACATTGGTCTCTCCACATATTATTTTTAAACATCAAACATTACATTCAAATATTGGAGGACTCTAAATTTTTTATTAAATTTTTTTTTCAGTGAGAATCATAAGAATTCAACCCTTGATTTGAATCTACATTAATATGAGAACCAAAAGATCATAACTCTTTAAAACACTGAAGTTTAACGTGGGGAAACTTGTAGGAAATGTGAAAAGTTGTTTTAAGTGTTCAGACTAACACATGTGTTTTGTCCACAGAAATACTGTTGACCCACCTGAAGCTTCATAACACCAACCTCAGAGATCAGCTGGTGCAGGGAGCGCGTCGGCCCTTTAAGAATCTTTAAAACAAACTCCTAACTAACCGGCTGCCCCTTGGACCAGCCATGCCGTGTCCTGAGCCCCTTGCCCTCCCCCCCCAAGCTGACCCCTCGGGGCCCAGACTGACACAGGGGTGAGCAGGCCAGCCTACCTGCCCGTCCAGCCGCATTCACCGTAGTGTGACTTACTGTAGGGCCCTCTCGTTGGGATACACTGACTTCAGGGAGCAGAGGGGGCATCAGTGGATGTGATGAATGTATTCCTCTCAGCGGACAGCGGCCATCTACAATCTCATCTCGGAGACGGACTGAAAGGTTCTCTCTTCACTCATTTGGGACATTTCCTCATGGGTTCCAAACGGCAGCAGAGACTCCCAGATCATGTTAAAGAGAGCAAGCGGAGCTCAATTGTTTGTGGGGTTTTCCTCCTTTATGCTGTTTGCTGTATTTTATTTTATTGCTAAATGTTTGTTTTTTTTTCTTATCCAAATTAATATGTAGATGGAAGATACGGGGGGGGAATCTTGATAAACACTGCAGAATGATTTGATTGGAATTCTATTATTAGAATAATTTAGTCAAGAGGTTTATATAGTGTATTAAATTAAGTTTTATTTTTCTGTATAGATTCATTTTAATTATTGTAGATGATTCTTTATCCTTGTAGCAAGAAGATTCCTTAAAGTGTGAAAGAAGCACTTTTTATTGGGGGTTTTTTTTGGCCGGTTTTTTTTTTCACAATAATAGTTGATAAGATTCTTCTAATCGCCTGAATTATGGATTAAAATCTTGGTCCAGATGTTTCAGAAGATGTCAAAATCAAATATGGTTCAAAATGAATTGTACATACCGATGAGTAAAAACCTTTGCTTTCCTATTTATTTTATTCCTTACTGGTCACTACTGCCTCTCTTAAAGCAGAGCAGTTATACTTGCTTCTTTTGTTGTTGTTGTTCTCTGAAGTCCTGACATTCTGGTACGACTCGGACATGGGGTGCAGGTGGGTGGTGAGGGGGTGTGCTGTGTATACAGTGTACAGATTACGGCTTGCTTCTCTGCCTTTTAGCATAGAACACACACATACAAGAAAAAAGAGTTTTAAAAAAAATCCTCACAGCCATACATTAAGTCAAAACTATAAAAAAGAGTGTGCTTTCTTTGTTGTCTGGAGTGAAATTGCTTCGTACAAGCTGCTAGGTGCAAACTGTTTGGGTGTGATGTAAACAAGCAATAATTACTTGAGAATCCTTTTCTGTTTTGTTTGTTTTTGTAATTTTTGTACAGTTTCCTGAATTTAAAGAGAGAAAAAAAGAAGCTTTTTTGCTCTGTGTTTGGAGGCAGTATTAGAAACGGTTTTCTACTGCAGTTTGTACCAAGAAAAAGACTACAATCCATATAAACACAACGTTCTTGATAAATTATGCAGCCATGTAAGAAGGCGGGGGGGGCGACCTGGTGTGGGGATGTAGTTTAACCCAACCCCACCTTCCCCTAATGATCAAAATGAGCCCTCTCTTCCTCCAGCCTTCTATCGCAGAGGTCAGAGTTGAGACTGCGCCTGCTCTGACACACACTTAGCCATATTTTATGACCTCAGGCAGTTAAAGTAAAAAAAAAAAATGTTCGCTGATGACGTTCTGATCTATTTCCCCAAAAGGGAGTTTAGATCCAAAGCAAGTCATCCTCTTTAACCTCAAAAGAATTTTTTATATAAACTATTTTACCCAGGAAAAGACTTTGATCAAGCCAAATGATTCTTTACATTTCAATTGGATTTCTTTCACCTCTTGGTTATCAGGCCCACACAGGAAAGATGTCAACGAGCAGCAGGGTCTAAATGCAGGTTTTCATCATAAATTCACTCTGAATGTATTGTCATTAAAGGCCTACTGGATGCAATCACACCATGCTCTTTTCTGCTTTTCTGTTGGCTTTTTTTATTTTTTAATTTAAGATAAAATTCAGAGGTGTCTGCGAAAGCGGCTCAGCCTCTTCGCTTGCCCCGTATCTGTTTTGTCGTGGGTTTATCTTAAATCATGCCTTTTTTTTTTTATTATGAAATGTTTTGATTGTAAAATCAACCCATGCGAAACAAAGCTTTTAGAGACGTTCCTTAAACAGGCGTTTTAAAAGGATTCAGAGCCCTTTGCAAATTTCCAAAGATTGTCAGCATTTAAAAAAAAAAAAAACTTAAAAGCCATGTGGTAGCAGTGCATTTTTTTTTTTTTTAAAGAATTTCTAATGACCGGTGCAAAAGAAGTGCACATATTCAGACTTTGGACCCACTTAACTACACACTATATTTTCTTCTCTTTAATGTTTGCTTTTGCAGAACTTTAAATGCCCTTTTTGTATCGTCTGCTGGTTTCTTAGAGCTAAGATGCAAACCCTTTGAAATGCTAAACACCCTAGCATATTGCCTTAGATTTCGTCCTGTTCTTGTTCTTGTAAGTTACACTGCTGTCTGTATAAATTTGTATAATGACTGGTTGTACAGTATTGAATGGGTGCACCACTATTCACCTCTACTCCGCTGCTGAACACCTTCACAGTTTCCACCCCCCCTCCCCACACACTCAACCACAATCATTGCTCTTCTATGTTGGGATAAACGGAGATACTGAAGCAATATGTATTATACTGGACTCTTCTGAAGAAAGATCACTGTTTGTTCTTTAATTTAGTTTTCTGCATTGTCCACAGGAGTCGCACTGTATACCTGCATCCATCTGACCTTTGTTACCCCACGGGTGTGTGTGTGTGTATGCGCGTGAGCACGTGTGTGTGTGAGTGTTTTATGCAAAATTAGATATATAAGAGAAGGTTAAACCACAGTTATGCAAGTTGTGAACTAATATGGCTTCGCTGATGCTATTTGCCTTGTAAATAAAGAATTCTGTTTAATGCAAATAATGCATAATTGAACTTTTCATTTTTATACGGGTACGTAACATAAGGATATTAGGACACTTAAATTTTTTTTTACTAACACATTTTTTAAAGGGAAAATTAAATTTTAGAGTATGGCAAGTGTGTAGTGTACTTATATATTTTTTTTTAAATATTTCACTGAAAACAAAAAAAATCACTTTTTCATTGTTTCATTATTGCATTATTTATGCAGTATGATGGAAGAACAAACAAATACCTTTGCTTTTCATACATGCATATTTGATTTTTTTTTCTTTTTTTTGTATCTGAAAACACTAAAATATAAAAAACTGTTAGAAAAGCTTCTGCATCTGATCCATCTGAAAAAGCCGTATGACATAGAAATGTGTTAAATGAAGGAAAAGATGTTTATAGTCTGAACTTATTGTTTTATTTAAAAATGTTGGTTTCAGTTTTAGGTTACCTCTCCGAAACTGAGGCTTCTCGGTCAACTGCTCTCTACCAAAATGCTCAAGCTGTTTCATGTTCAATTGCCTCCAGAAATTTTTTAAAGGATCAAGTTGGAATGAAAGTTAATATTTCAAGTTTCACAAGAGTCATAACTGACTATGTTTCAAGACAAATGACAAGTTTCCTCTGAAATGTATTTATTCACAAGTAAATTTACTCTCGTAATTTAAAAAAAAGTTCAAATCAATAATAAAATGATCTCCATCTTTTGATAATCATATCTCACAACCAGAACATTTTCTCTGGAAGCTACAATAACATTTTGGACGAAATAACCAACGCAATCATGGTGAAGATGGCTTAATTGACAGTTATTCAACAGAAAATTCACAAGGAGGATAAAGGAATACAAAAGCTCATAAGAAATAAACATAATGACCATGTGTGGTTCTAGATGGGGGGGAAACAGGGGCCAGTAGCCTCATGGAACTTGTATTTCCTTTTAATTGGCTTTAAAGATTTTACTTAGAATATGTCTATATTACCTTCATTTAAGCAGGTAGGTAAGACAGTTTGCTGTTAGAATAAGATTTATGTAAAAAAACATAAAAAAACATCTTATTTCAGGGGCATAATTCTCTTTTTGGCAGATTTATTTACCTGCTCAAATTAAGGGGAAATGCACTGATTTTAACAATCAGTTTTGCATTGTAATACAAAATCAGTTTCTTATGATGGTATATGCTGACAATGAGACCGTAACGGAGCTATCCCTTGGAATAATAAAAAAAATGTCTTTACAATTTACCTTAAAACTTATTTAACCCTATAATGCCAAATGTATCGTATTTGATACATACGGTTTCTGAAATGTTTTGCGTCTGACACCTTTTGCATAATCTAATGGTAAAGACTTTGCTCAAAAACCTATTATACACAATCAGATATACCTGATAACAGAGGGCAGAAGACTACGCACAAAAATTATCTTGACTTATCGCATAGTAATAAATTATTAATATCAAAAATGTATTTCTGTTTTTTCTTTTTACATATTTGGTTAAAAGGCCAAATAAGGACTTCAAACAAAAAAAAAGTAATTTTCTGTTTTGTTTTATTCTTGGATCGGGCTTTAAAGGGTTAAAAATTACAGAAATGACAGACTGTGTCTCATTTAAGAACAGAAAATTAGCTCTCCCTTTGTTTTTTGTGTTATACTCTTGTTCTTTGCTCCCACTATAAAACACTGGTAAATTGAATCTACTAATTTGGACAGTAGGGAAAAAATGTTGAGTCTGTTGATCCTGTTGGCCACAAATGGAAATTATGAAAAGCAAACAATTCTGAGTGACCTACTGTTGATAAATATTAGTTATAGCAGCTCAGTGACTAGACTCTACTTAAACTGCCAAACAACTCCTGATGGATACCAATTGGGGCAAAGCTGGAAACAAAATGACCTGGAGACCATCAAAGATAAGTGTGATCATTCTGCATGCTGAGTAAAAAAAAAAAAATGTATTAATACTTTTTTATTGTTGAATAGTTTATGAAATACTGACATTACTGACAAAAAAAATGTACCATAGACCTGCCATTGTATATTTTATTTTATTTGTAAAACTGTATATCTATGCTTAATTTCTCTAGTTGAAGCCTATGTGTGTGTTTATCGATGGAAAGCTTAGAGAAATCTCCCTAATCAGAATGGAACCGTGGATAGGTTCAGTTGGTGGGCTGTCCCACGCAGATACATTGAGATGCATGAGGTTGAGTGGATTCCTCAGCCAATGGGAAGGAAGGAGGAAAAAGGTTTGAAGCATCTTCAGCGGACCGGAACCTGATAGGTTCCCTCAGATAACCAGAAACGCACCCAGGTTAGGGTTAGTAAAGCTAAGCTCTGATGGATTAAACTTCACCATCCAGGGGTTTTGGCTGACTGAAAACCGGTAAGTTTTTTTTTTTTTTTTCCTTTATTAGAGATCAAAAGTTTTTTTCCCCTTATGTTTAATATTTATCTTTCTTCTTCTAATTCAAAGAAATCAATAAGCTATTCTTTCCCCCAAAATTAAGAGTTACGCGCGGATCATGACGCACGGCGTCTTCCAGAGCTCCTTCCCGCCGTTCAGTAAATTATTGTTCAGGATTGGTAAAGGTCCATTAAATGCTCCATTAATGCTGACCTCTGCTCCGACCGGCTATTTTGTGATTGGTGTCATGACCCTGGTTTGTCTCTATTTACTGGTTGGCTTGGGGTGGGACTGGTTCCTCCATGGGGCCCCCTCACAGTTCAGCTGTGTAAGGTGTTTGACCTCTCAGCTGGAAATATTGCAAAATCGGCTGCCCTGATTTTTTTTTTTTGTTTGTTTTTTTAAACCATGGATGCTTTTCTTTTCCTCTGTTTTCTAACAGCTGGGTTCAGGCATTCTTACAAAAGTCCAAACATTCCCAAATAGTTTCCTGTCAAATCATTGAGAAATATTGTAAGGCTTTTAAACATAAACCTTGACAATCTATTGATTCATCTTTATGAGAGAATGTTAAAGCTGCAGCTGTCCTGATTCTTCTTCCATAAATAATTTGTGACAGGAAACCCCGCAGTGGCAGGACTTTAAAAAAAATGAAATCTCCAAAATCCACAGAACTGAAGAAGAGATTAGTTGGAGAGATGTCTGCAACTTTTAGACGAAACCAATGAAATTCAAACTTTTTTTTATGTCTTCCTTACCTTTTTTCAAAGCTGAAAACTAATATCTGAATAATTTTTTTTTTATATAAAATTGGAAAGTATATAATTGCTTCTTTTTTTAAACCAATAAATGCGTAAAACTTTTATCACTCACCCTCCAGGATCCGTAAACCTCCGTGCGTAAAAGTGTGTGCGTCTCCATCGTCTCTGCCATGCTGAAGGAGAGGAGCTACCACGCGGAGATGCTGAAGAGCAGTCCTCTCCAGGGTTTCTTCCCCACTCCTTACCACTTCATGGACCTCTACCCACGGACACACAGTCTCCTCCACCCGCTCAAGTCACTCGATCGGCTGGTGTCGGACGCCCGAGCTTCCCTGCCCCTCGGGTTCCACGTAGGCGTCTCTCACGGCGCGTCTGGCTTGCCGTACAGCAGCCAGATGTTTCCGGGACACGCTCAGTACTCCAGGCCGGAGGAGCTGGCCGCGGTGGTGACGGAGCACGCCGCCGGACCGCTGTCCTCAGACTTCAGCAGCCCGTCCAGCGTCAGCTCTCCATCCGTCTGCTCCTCCTCCACGCCGCGCAAGGAGAGCTTGTTTCGGCCGAACACGGAGAAAAAGGTTCCATCCTTTAACTTCAGCAAGGAGGACTTGTTTATGGTGCTTTATGGTTACTATGGGGACCAGGTGGGCAGCAGGGGCCACGCTATATCAGGACTGACCCTGCAGGAAAACTCAGGTAAGCGCCCTGGATGCAACTATAACTTGATGCATAACATAGAGCCATAATTAAATTAATATTTATGTAGGTGACAGAATAAAATTAATCTTAGACAAAAAGAAAAAGAAATATAATAATGGATATGTTGGTTAAAAACCCTATTTAATATTTGTTATAAAACAATATTAAACTCAGGTAAATTGTAAAAAAAAAAAAAATCAATTATTAAACAATTTATTTTATTATTTGCTGTTCTGAAGCCCCAAAGCACTGAATTATTTCAGTATTAATAATTAGATATCAACTTTTAATTTAAAATGTATCATAAACTATATTTATGGAAAGTGTTGTTACATAATTAAGTTTTCCTTTCTGTTGAAATGCTTGAAAAATGATTTTAGTATTTTTTTCATGATTTTATTTTGTGGCGAGATTCAACAAATAGATAATCTGCTAAGTATGTATTTATCTTTTTGGTAGTTTATAGGTGAAAGTATAAATAAAACTTAAATGCAAAAAAATCATTTGAAATATGATAGAAACTAATAATATAATTAGTTAATCAATAAAAATACTTCCAGAATACAGTTTATTTATTCTACTGTATAACTATCTATATACAGCCTTAATTTTGTGCTTTGCCTTTTAGCTTCTGATTCCCCCATTTCCCTGCTGGATAAAGAAACTCAGGCGCTTCCAGAGGGTAAGTTAATGCCATATTTTATCTTTTCTAACAATGTAATATTAGAGGTTTTGAATTCTGATGTTGTGTTGCAGGACTGATTGTCCTCCAGGCTGCATGGGGAAGTGCTTACCACTGTGGAGTTTTCACAGATAAGATCAGCATCCCTAAAGGCACCCGTTTTGGACCTTTCCAAGGAAAACATGTGAACACCAGTGAGATCAAAACATATGATGACAACACTCTGATGTGGGAGGTGATGCAACTATAATTTTAGATGTATTTTACATATGGCTGCAGCATTTTTTTTTTAACATTATAGCACCATCATCTGCTCTCCTCCAGGTTTTTGAGAATGGTCGGCTGAGTCATTTTGTGGATGGCAGAGGCACCTCTGGGAACTGGATGTCCTTGGTGAAATGCGCTCGGTTTCCTGAGGAGCAGAATCTGATCACAGTGCAGGATCAGGGTCAGATCTACTATGAAGCCTGTAAGGAGATCACACCAGGCCAGGAGCTCCTGGTATGGTATGGAGACTGTTACACACAGTTTCTTGGAATCCCACTGACGCTGAAGAACCCGAGAGAGGACAACAACAGTGTTTCTCCAGCTGAAGGTGTGAATCTACTGCTTCTCCTCTCATTATTCAACGTTCATTCAGTTTGCATCACAACAGGGCCCCTTTATTTCCTCTGCAGATTCAGGAGAGGGCTTTAAGTGCGACAGATGTGGGAAGGTGTTCGCCTACAAGTATTACAGAGATAAGCACCTGAAGTACACACGATGCGTTGATCAAGGGGACCGCAAGTTTCCCTGTCACCTGTGCAACAGGTCCTTCGAGAAGAGGGACAGGCTGAGGATCCACATCCTGCATGTGCACGAAAAACACAGACCTCACAAGGTAGAATGCTGAAATATGTATTTAGAAACACCTTTTGGAATATTATTGTTATGCTGTAAAAGTATGCATGGTTCTGAAAGGACAGCTCCTATGTTGGGTTACATTTGCCATGTTCCTTTTAGGTTTACTGAGAAGTGGATTACTCTAACACTGGATGAATTAAGTCTTATTGATATCTAGAATAGAGAAGTCGATTTAGACTATCACATTAATTTAAAGTATACATTATGAATGGTTGCATTAAATAAAGAAGCCGAATGAAGCTGTCTGTGACATACTGTAATATTTGTTAAATCAGTTTGCCTTTTTTCACTCTTTAAATTCCAGTAAAAGTGACCAGTTGCATTAATCAGCCTATATTTAAATGTCTCTTGCAGTGCTCTGTGTGCGGGAAGAGTTTCTCTCAGTCCTCCAGTCTTAACAAACACATGCGGGTCCACTCTGGAGAGCGACCATACAAGTGTGTCTACTGCAACAAGGTAAGAGTGTGCCATTATAGTTTATTGGTGTAGTTGGAAAAAAAATAAAAATGGGAAAAGACTAGGCCACAAAGGAACAAAGATTTCCAAAGTGAAAACAAGGAGATTATTCAAAAAATATCTCTCTAGGCCTACAGGTGTAGGAAATATGAGGACATCCTAGAAATGTAGATGTGAGAGATAATAAAATTCGTTTTGATTTTTAGAATAGAACAGAATAGAAAATCCCTTTATTATCCAACAATGGGGAAATTCTGTCTTTTACAGCAGCAAAAAGATTGTAGAAAAAATGGTCACACAAATGTGGACCTTAGAAAAATTTATAAGTGCAACATAATAGTGAAGAGTTAGAAAATAAACCATAAAATACTGTACTGTAAAATATTTTAATTATTTTTATTACATAACTAACTTACTATATAAAATCTCTGTTAATCAAAAGTGGAATATCATTTAATTAATTTAATCTAGTAAGTATTATGTTTTTTAAAATATTTTTATTTTCATTATTTTTTATTTTGATCTCTCTTGTAAGCAAACTGGTTGACATAGTTGGCTGTAATTAACATGAGATCATATGGTGCCCTAATAACATAAATAAATAGGCTTCCGGTTTGTTTTCTTGTTGTCCAAAGTTTATTTTGTTTGTTATTTTTCAACGATCATATTGGAGTAGTTAGGCTATTGGACAGAATATCTTAAGCCACCTAAAAAAATAAAAACACAATTCAAATAATTAATATTAACTAGATTTGTCCTCACACTCTGTACCATATTTGCAGAAAAAATTCACACCTTCCTTTTTTATTTTCATCAGTATTGAGAGTTAAATGATAAAACACGATATTTAAATTTTATTAAACAACGAATAACATAACTTAAATTGCAATAAGATTTTTATACAGGTGTAGGCTACTACTGAAAATAGACTTTACAGCATGAAACGGGATCTTTTTTGTAGCAATAATGTTTCGGTTTTGTTTTTTTTTTTTAAACAAAAGGCAAAGTTAAGCCTCACTAAGTGTTTCAGCTCCATGACTGGAAGCAGCTCTACTTTTTTCACGGAGCTTTCGGCACGAGCGCTGGTTGATTGTTCCTCGCGGCAGGCACGCGCCTCGGAGCGACTTTCAGGCTAATTATCGCCAGATGTTCCGCTCGGACGTTTGTCCTGCTACGTCCCAAGCTTTTTATTTATGACACTAGAATGAGCGAAGCTATTTTATAGCTACTTTGTTTAAAAAATAAAAATCCCCCTTTTTCTTAGATATTTTACAAAAACAGCAACAACAAAAAAAAGATAACGAAAAAAATAAATACAAATTTAAAAATAGGGATATTTCCGAGTCCGTTTAAAGTGTCTGTTTATATTTAATAAAAAAAATCTTACATAATTTCGATCGGTACACACATATATACATGTTTATATGTCTACCTATTTAAAATGTATCAAAATCCATCCTGTCTCTTTAAGGCCTTCACTGCCTCCAGCATCCTGCGCACTCACATCCGCCAGCATTCCGGAGAGAGGCCCTTCAAGTGTAAGCACTGCGGGAAGGCCTTCGCCTCCCACGCGGCCCACGACAGCCACGTCCGCCGGACCCACGCCAGGGACAAGCCGTTTCCCTGCGAGCTGTGTGGGGCCTCTTTTCTGGAGGAGCAGGAGCTCAGCTTCCATCAGACCATCCACAAAAGTAAGAAATTAACTTATTTTTACACAAAAAAATATTGGTTAGGGTTTCATTAACGTCTATTTTCACATTTATAAATAAATGTGCTCAAATAAAGATGATGCAAAATAAAGTGTTAAAATTATATTCAAAGAAACTATTTCAAAATATTTTTTGTTCCCTATCTTGTTTATTTTTTCTTTAATATTGCATATTAAATAAGTAAATAGATGAGAGTAAAATTAACTTTTTGAAAAAAAAAAAAAAAAAAGAAACATTTATTAATTTCTTCTCCTTTAGAGAGACCAATGGACACCATCACTGTCCTCCCTTCTTCTGGAACTGGACTGGAAAAAGACTCTGGACTTGCAGTGGAGGAAATCCAAAAAGCTCAGAAGAATCCAGGGCAAAGGTTTCCAACTTATCCCGGGTTGAAAGTTTCAAACTCTGATTATCGGCCCTGGAACTAGACTACCCAGGAAAAAAATGCTTACTATTGTACAGCCTTATTTAAAACTAACCAGGATTATTTAAATAGTAGGGCATCTATTTATGTAACTATGTTTTATTTTATTACATGGCTTAAAGCTATCTCTCTACCTGGTTAAGTCAGGGCAGGTTTTGTTATTATCATTATTACCAAGTATTTTAGTCATTCGTGTTTGTTTTTGTTTATATTTCAATGTAAAGTGTATTTTCTTCTTTAATTTATAAAGTGCGTCACCTAAAAAAAAAAAAAAAAAGAAGTTTGCAAAGCAAACCAACAGCACTGGTTTATCTTTGTTCAAGTTTTGTCTTTTTCTTCAACAGCATAAAATAAATGTTCGCATGGAAAAATAAATATGAGTGTTGAAAATATGTATTTCTTTTATTTTCACTGCATACAAATCTTACAGAGGTGAGCAAGTTAACTATTTTTATACATAAAAAAACAAGCAAATAAAAAAGAAACTATAAATTAAAAAAAAAACTAGATCCTGAGACAGATTGAAAAAAAAAACTCCAGCTTCACATTTTGTGCCGTGGTGCTTTTTTTTTTTTTTTTTTTAAATCTCTCTTTCTTTTAGCCTGGATGCTCTCAGTAAAATGAAGAAACTCTGCTTGGAGCTAATGAATGACAATAGGGAGGTGCTGTAAAGTGGTCTATAGCTTCACACACAAAGCAGTTCACTGTGAATGACATCTGCCCTCACACTGAGTCCAACTGTCCCACACATGTTCCCCTGAGATCAGATAGATAGATAGATAGATAGATAGATAGATACTATTCCAAATGCATTTGTTTTGCGATCATAGAGGAAAGTGTTTTTGCTTCTTTTCTGTTTCTTCTTTAAAGATTTCGAGGTTCAGCACCTTCCTGAATATCCAACAACCCCTCTCTTCCTCCAAATAGCCAAAATATGGCTGCTTGAACAAGTGTAGATCAACCTTCATTGGAAACTGCCCCTCCCATGAGTAGGTATAACACCCCCATCAAAAACACCACGACTGGGTTTTCCACTGTGTAAAAATAGGGTATCCTCCCCTTTGTGGTTTCCCAGGATCAGAGGGGTGGAGGAGAAGGACGGAAAAGACAAAAAAAGAGACAGAAGGAGTCCGGGGAGAATGAGCTGCCATGGCTGAATTACTGAGATTGTTAGCACTCGGTGCTAAAAGAGTGGTTTTACAGCACCTCCTCTGATTGTCTGATTTAGGACTCGGGCATGGGAGAAATTTTATCTAGGTCGTTTATATGCATTGATTTCACATTTAACCTCCCAGTCAAGCCAGCAGGGCCTCTTTGGGGCCATCTATCAGATTCATCTCTGTATTAATGTAATATTAATAATAGCTGAGCTCCATGGTTAACATGTTTGCAGAAGTTAATTCCCTTGGAGACCGGAGCAAACATAACTCTTTACCAAACAAGTGTAGCACTTTGATACTTTATACCACTCAAGCACGGCCCACAAATGTGGTCACAACTAAATGCACCACTGTGATTAATTAATAATGCACACTGATATAAGGAGGAGAGAGATGCTGCTGAAACATTCTTACAGATGGAGTCACCTTGTACATTTAGACGTTGCTCATAGTCTGGGCTGAGTAGTCAACAGCTCAGATGTATATGTGCCTATTGATTGCCTAATAGCTGCTGGGGTGTGTGTGTGTGAGTGTGTGTGTTTTTCAGGCAGCGATCAGATTTTCAGCTGAGTGGACTTATAAACTATAGCCACAACAGCTCTATGTCGATATATATGCCTCAGTCAGATTCCAAGCAACATTAAAACTTAGTAATGTCAGAGAAAGTAAAACTTCAAGATTCTTTTGCAAAGGCTATATGATCAGTGGAGGAAAATTAGGTGGAAATATCTACATCTACTTGTATTGGGTATCCTTTTATCGCTTTTTTTCCTTTTTTATCTTGCAATAGTATTCAAACCCGTAACTATTTTTAAAATATTGACTGTGCCATCCTAAAACTCTCATGATCTTGGCGTTGAGGTCTGGTCTGATTACTCATTTCATTCACCTGTCTAGCTTCGCCCAGTTCTCATTACTGTTCATCTGATTCACCAGCTTAGGTGCTATTTAACCAACCTTCAAACCAGTCATCAGTGCCAATTATTTAAGCCTTTGGTGAGAGTTCTCTAGCATTCCTGAGTGTTTATTATTGCCTGATCCTGACCTGTTCTGCCTCTGGACCTCTGAGCCTGCCTGTCCCAACTCTGATCTGTTTGCCTGACTTGTCCTTGGAGTTCTGCTGGATTTCTGCCTGTGTACCAAACTAAGAACTGATTTATTACACTATCCTGGATTTCCCTCTAATCTCCGGGCTCTGCCTCCTGAGAACGTCCTCTACACTAGCTTTGGCTTCATCCTCTGGATTATCCTGCCTTTCATTTATTGCTTGGTTTTGATTTCCTGACTGTTCTCCGACCTCAGAGATTTCAGTTTCTAGGACTCTCTGGGCAATGCCCCCTGCGTCTTGCTGGCAGCCAACCGACTCAAACCAACCTGATCATCTGGGCACAGACTGAACTTTAAGACCAAGTTAGTGACTCACATGTTCATTATCATCCTTCGCCAGATAGAAGTGGTCATTAACCCGTGTTCTCATCCTGCAGAGGTTCCTGCTTTATATGTCGATGCTTTTCTCTGCAGATCCATCCTTAATAAACATTTTGTTAAACCTAACTGTCTTTCCACCTCGAATACTGGCTTCTTTTGTTCTGAGCCTGACAAAAACATGATTTTCTTTCTCGACTCTAAGCAGCTTATGTCTCTTCTGATTACTATTATCCCTATAGCATGATACTGCCAATACCATGCTTCACCATAAGAACGGTTTGTTCAGTGATTTGAAGGATTACTCTCCCACATCTTTGGCACTTTTCATGTTTCCCAAAAACGTAGGAGCACCTTACTGTGTTAAACTGCTCAAAGTAGCATATTGTGAAAATCACCTTGGTGGCTGTTTTTGGGCATCTTTCTTTAGCCAGTATTCTATAAAGCACTAGATTTGATAAGGATATAACTAATAGTTGTCAGCATAAGCTTGTTCTGCCACCTGAGATGGGGATTTCTGTCGCTCCTCCAGTGTTACTATCTCTCTTAGTCAGGCTTGTTAGTTACTACTTAGTTACTACTAGTTAGTACTTATGGACATGGAGCCATACTTTTTCTGTTTATGGACAACAGATTGAATTTAGACCTTTAAAAGCTTGTGATATTATATCTGTAACTCAACCCAGATTTAAACTTCCATATTTTTTCCTCCTGACCTGCTATGTTTCTCTGTTTTCATGAGGAATTTGGTTCACTACTGTTCTCTAACAAATCAAGCTGACTTATACACAGATTTATCAAAGTACACAAAGGTATGAACGATTGGAAGACTTCTGGAAAAAAAAACAGCTGACTACACCACATCTTATGTAGGGTTATCATATTAAAAATTAAGCTTACAGATGCATGCTGCACTTTTCAGATTTGTCATGTAAATTAACATTTATTGTGGTTTTTATGCAGTTTTTGTGTACCTGTGTGCACTAAGGGAAAGCAGATGTTAGTGAAAGTGCTCCTTCAGCTGACCCCCGTGCATCAGGGTTGTTCGGTACATCACCATCATCTTCACAGTTATTTAAGTTCCCTATTAAATTTAAATCAAGAATTAGAGCTGAATCTTACTCAAACTAGCATTTGACTGTGTTAGAAGCACCTCCATTTACTTTATCTCATTTTAAATCCTGGCATTGAGCATATTAGGATCTACCTTGAAAGGAACATGTAAGTTAAGTCATTTGTGTTTGAATAGATCCGACACAATCCCCCCTCTGAGTGAAGGAATAAGGATTATCAGCTTGCATCCTTGTGAAGCATGCGTCAGGTCAGTCGGAGGTGATCTCAACTGCGGTTGAGGAGAGTACAGCAGAAGGCCTGCAGAGAGGCTCAGCAGCAGAATGAAAGGCAGATCAAACAGCCTACAAAGCCTCTCCATATTGCTTTGGAGTGTGTGTATCTTCTTGGTTGGATTGATGGAAGAGGTGGGCAGATGGCCCTATCCTTCTCAGTGGGGGGTGGTGTGAGGTTGCTGGATGCTCCCATGGGGCAACATATTTGCAGACACACACGTGGCCACATCCTCCCCCTCCCTCTAACAGCACCCCACAGCAGCCTGTTATAAATTCTACAGTCTACCTGTATATTTCCATCCATCCAGTGCTGGTTTCCCTTTGATAATATCAGGGTTGTAGTTCATCTGTAACATGGCTCAGAGAAACAGATCTGCTCGTAGGCTGACATCTGCCATTGTTATGCGAGGTGTTAGAAAGTGTTATAGGCTTCTGCTCCCCATGCATCATGCTTTACAATAGTTCCCTATGTGTTGTTTGTGTCTTTATGCGCAAGGCTTTTGTATCCTCCCAACTGTTTTTCTTTTTTTCTGAGTTATGGAGCTGGCAGTAGGGTAGTGAGGAGAAAAGCTCTTACTTCACTGCTTTCTGCTTTCTTGTGATGTTCTGTCAAATTGTGGGGTTTAAAGCCTCTCATGTTTCCAAATGATGTAACTTCTTAAACTGAATCCTTAAGTACCTCCAAGGAAGTTTTTATTGTAGCGTAAAAGGGTTTCAGGCCACTCCCAATATATTCCTTGCTTCAAAGGTGCAATTTAAGCAAATGATTTGGCTTTTAAGTTAAAATCATGCCTGTTGGAAACAAAACATAAAGAAAATAGGATTTACTGAATTTTGCTGAACTGGTTTGCTGAATTACAAATAGGCTTTGTTTTATTTCAGTATTTTACATAGGTTAAATTGATGTTTTGAATCCCCTACAAATATTGCATCATCTATTATATCATTGTAGGCAATTTAAATGTTTCTTAAAAACAAAACAGTGAAATGCAGTGATTACTTTGGCTTCTGATTAGACAGAGCATGTCTATAAACACCTTAATTGATCTAAAATAGGTCCATTTTTAAATATAAGTTAAAAGATTTTTGATATAAGGTAGACAAAAATATGGGATGTTTCATAATAAGTTGAAGATACTGGCTAAAGTTTCAATTTGAACAAAAAGAAACGGCTTATATTCAAATCTTTTTTTAGAGTTTTTTTTTTTTTTTTTTTTTAGATATTAGTAAGGAAGAGTTTAGAAAGTCAAATATTTTAC